CAAATCAGAAAATGTCGGTCTTTGCATTGGATCCGGATTCCAGCATTTCCACATAATTGCATACCTTACAAAAGAACAACTTTTATGAATTAAGAAATTTAATCAAAATATGTTTATTATATAATCATTCATTATTATTGCTTACAAGTCACGCGACGTGTCAGGTGATTTTTCCAAACGATAGCCTTCTTTTAGCTTCTCGAGAATCTCAATTCCAGACAGCCCTCCGTAAGGAACGATACCTGGAATCGCAAGGAAAAAAAGCGTTCTGAAACTGTACAGTGTTTTCCAAGACTGAAATGCATTGCTGCTATTTGATTTCACGTGAATGGCGTTATAAGTGACAACTCTAAAAAAGTCTTGGATAGTTTTTCAGCAACAGAGAAAATACTGGTAGAGCAGAGTCACTTGAACCATGAAATAGAAACTAAATACTTAGTAACTAATAGGCACTATTTAGACACTATCACTGAAGAGATTACTTTGTGTTTGTGTTCTCTTGGGTATTGCTTATTGGATCAAATAGAGTGGTTTTCATAAACCCGTGAAACAAAGTGTAATAATTAGAGTGTAATAGATCGTAATAGTCGCTTAGAGACTAAAAAACCAAAGAGCCAAAGTGTAATAGCGAAAAATACGCTAAAGTGTGTTTCACGGGTTAATGAAAACCACTCTAAAGTGTTCTGGTTCAGTGCTAATGACTATTAGGAACTAATAGTGCCTATTAGTTAGTAATTTTTAGTTTTTATTTCATGGTTCATGTGACTCTGCTCTAGTTCGACGACCAGTAATGCATTTGTTTTGTGGAAACACTATTTTCAAAAGTYAACGTTTTCTCCTGAAAACGCTATATAAAACAAATCATAATATGGGAATCATAACTCCCACTAGCAAGAATATATACTGATTTGATGTACACAATTAAATGTTTACATTTGTTTAATAAATTGCTACAAAACTGCATGACGAGCATGAAGAATCTGCTCAAAGCACGGATTAAAAAGAAACAACAACTTGTTGTCAATGGCCTTACCTCCATTTTCAATCTCCCACAGTAAAACTCCATAGGACCAGCTATGAATGAAGGAAGTCGTAAGATTGAGTGAACAGTGAATTACTAGACCCCAGGGATCCTTTAAGGCTGATTTACACGGTACGATTTGTCGCGCGCGACTTGTAGTATACGATTTTCCTACTAGCTACAAGTCGTAGGATTTTAAGCAGTGGTTCAAAATCCTACTACAAGTCGCAGGTTGCGTACGACTGTTGCAGACAAGTCGTAGGGGCATTTACACTGCGCGATTCAAGTCGTATACTACAAATCGCACGAGACAATCGTGCCGTGTAAATCAGCCTTTAGACTTCTATTTCCGAGTATTTTGACATTTATGACACATATAAATCGTTATTAAGGATTATAAATGATGGCTCTCTTATCAAAGAGTGCCCAGTGCTTTATTTTATCGTTTTTTTGAACAAAACTTGTTATGTAATAAAATCATTCAAGAGTGGACCAATTCCTGTAGTTTTAAAATATATGTGCATTAAAGCTAAAAAAAAAAACTAAACAAAACTGCTTTTGTAACTTTAAAGTATACTTGGATTCATGGATGTTACACGGAAATT